TCAAAGGATGGAAAACAATACTCCATGTGACAAGAACCCAGAATAAAGCAGGAGCAGTTATTCCATTTTCAGATTTAGTGGATTTCAAATTAAGACTGATCAGAAGGACAAAGAAGGTCACAACATACCTGTTAAGGGAATAATCCAAGAGGAAGAGATAACAATCATAAGAATAATATACCTGTGCACCCAACTTTGTAAAACAAACACTGATGGATATGAAAATTCAGATAAGCACTAATATTATAGTGGAGGATCTCAATACCCTGCTGTAACAAACAGAACAACTAGACCAAAAATCAACAAAGAGCCAGGTGTGGTGTGACACGCCTGTAATCCCAGTACTCAGGAGGCTGAGGCAGGAGGATCGCTGTGAGTTCAAGACCAGCCTGAGCTACATAGTGAGTTCCAGGTCAGTCTCAACTACATAGTGAGACCCTATTTCAAAAAAACAAAACAAAACAAAAATCAACAAAGAAATATCAGAGCTGAACCAAACCTTTAAATTAGTAGATTTCTAGAGTTTTCCACTCAATAACAGAAAACATAATCTCCTCAGCAGCATATGGGACTTTATCTAATAGACTATATGCTAGTCTATAGAGAATGCTTAAGTAAATGCAAAGGAATTAAAATTACCCCATGCATATTATCAGATCATAGTGCAATGAAATTGGAAATCAAAGGCAAAAGAAACCAAAAATTATATAAACATATGTAAATTAATTAATACCCTGAACAACAACCAATAGTTCATAGATGATATTAAAGAAAAATTAAACAGCTTCTACACTTAAATTATAATGCCAACATGACATTCCAGAACTTATGGGACATAATGAAATCAGTTCCGCAAGGGAAATTTATAGTGGTGAACTCCTACATCAGAAAAACAGAGAAAGTTCAAATAAATAACCTAATATTGCACCTAAAGCTTCTAGAAAAAGAATAGCACAGTAAAACCAAAATGTATACAAGAGTAGGAATTATAAAGATCAGAAGAGAAATGAATGCAATTGAGACTATGAAAACAATACAATGAATCAATAAATCAAAGAGTTGATTCTTTGAAAGATTAAATAACATAGACAAGGCTTTAGCCAACCTTATTAAAAAATATGAATGAAAAGACCCAAAGCGATGCAATTAGGAATGAAAAGGGTAAAATCACAATGAATCCTGTAGAAATCCAGACCATTAATACCTACTTTAGTAAGAAGGTACTTATTAAATAATAAATACTCTAATAAGATGGAAAAACTCAAAAGAAATGGAGATTACTAGATACATATGAACTACCAAAGCTGAATCAAGAAGATACAAAAATTCTAAATATCCCAATATCAGTCAATGAAATTGAAGAAGTACTTTTAAAACTAGCAACAAAGTAAAGCCCAAGTCTTTATGGATTCACTGATGAATTCTACAAGAACTTTAGAGACAATCTAGTGCCACTACTCCTCAAATACTTTAAAAAATAGAAAGGAGGCAGTAACCCCCAAAATCATTACTGGAAGCAAGTATTAACCTGACCCCAAAACCAGAGAAGTATCCATGCAAAAAAGAGAACTACAGACCAATCTCCTTAATGAACATCAATGCAAAACTCCCCATTAAGATACTGACAAATAAAATGAAAAAAAGTATCGAAAAATACACACACTGTGAAAGAGTAGGATTCATCCCAGGGATGCAGAGATGGTTCAACACATGCAAATCAGTAAGTGTAATACACCATATTAACAGAGCCAAGGACAAAATCCACATGATCATCTCAATAGATGCAGAAAAAGCATTTCCCAAAGACCAAGACCTATTCATGATAAAAATCTGCAGAAAATTGAAATTTTTATCTCAGTCTGATAAAAGCCATCTATGACAAACCAACAGCCAATATTATACTAAATGGCCAAAAATCAAAAGCTTTCACTGAAATCAGGAACAAGACAAGGATGCCCACTATCACCATTCTTCAATATAGTTCTGGAAACACTAGCTAGAGAAATTAGACAAGATAAAGAAATGTAAGGAATATGGGTAGGAAAAGAAGTTAAATTATCATTATTGGCTGATGACATGATACTTTACATAGAAGACCCAAAAACTCCACCAAAAGACTTCCAGATTTAAAAACCAAATTTAGTAGCATAGCTGGATACAAAGTCAACACTCAAAACCCATAGCATTCCTGAATCTGAATATTAAACTCGCTGAGAGGAAAATTAGGGTCCCTCACATGAGTCTTCCCTCCTTGAGGGTACATGAGGTCCTCACTGGGACTCCTTCTGTCTGCCCTGGACCCTTGCAGGTCTGGAGGGGTCCTCTGCCTTAGACTATGTTGCCCTTACCCTCACTGTCCCGGGAAGAGCTGAGGTCCCTCTCTGAGGGCCATAGCTGCTGCATGAAGGACAGGCAGGGGATATGACCACTAGTGACCCAGTGCCAGGATGCTGTCCCCAAGGCAATTGGGAGGGCAACACACAGGAGGGATGACCAGCTCCTATGAAGCCTCACAAGGATGGCATCAGAAAGATGAGAAGCTGACAGGCCCAGGTATATCAGGAGATTCCCCGGGTCCCAGACCCCAGGTAAGGGGACTCAAACTACACCACCCAGGCCTCTCTCTCCAGCTGATAAAATGCCCAAACTACAGGGAGGAGGAAATGACAGAGGAGTGTCTGTCAGATTCTAAAGGAAAAGAGAAGCCCTGTTACCCCTAGTCCTCCAAGTGATTGCTACTGGGACACATTATTAGCTCCTGACTCAGGAGAGTCAGCCTGTGAGAGCCAGGCTGGGGTGTCTGGACACTTGGTGGTTGATGGTGAGGGGAAAGCACAGGACCCTTGACAGCCCACTCTGAGAGCCTGAGCTGTGCTCTCCAGACTGCTCCCAGCCTAGCCAACAGTCTCCATCTGCACCCTCACCTCCACTCCCACACCCATCCC